GCATCTAGAGCAGCACGAGGCAAACAGGCCAGCAGAGTGCGCGTTTCCTGAGCGTCCTAAAATGGGCACCATTCCCTGCGCGAACCCCGGGGCGTCAGAGCAACGGGAGGAGACTCACATCATCTGACTGCATGGTGTCGGCGGTTCAGCGTGTGGCGCCTGGACTGACCACGGGAGCAGACATGCTGTTTCCGGAAAATCACTTCCGGAAAGCCTAGCCTCGGCTATCGCGAGAAGCGCAGAGACTGCCGGGAGTACACAGCGACCGCTGGCGGCCTGGCTGACGTGCGTGCCGCCCCGTCACCCCAGCGCGCATGTCAACGCGCGCTCGCGCCGCTCTAGACTTGTCGCGGGCTCACGGGGACTGTAACCCAGTGAGGGCCCCACGCAGGCCGCGGAGTCCCCGGGCGGCCTTCTCCGCGCGCGGTTCGTGACCGTCCCTGAGGACTGGCTCCTTCCGCCCTTTTTATGTCTCCAAGGGAAAGAGAAGACCTTTACTGGTTCATACCATTTTTCAAAGGAAAGACCATTTTAATACCAAAAGCCTAAGAAGAGCACAGTCGCAGAATAAGGATGGGCCCTTAATTTGAATGCATATCACGTTGTGAAATAATTCAATATATTATAAATAATGTAGTGTTACTGCCTGCAAGTGAAAACCGCGATTCAGAAGCGCTGTGTTGGAAACCATTGATTTAGCACTGGCTTTGGAGCCAAACCTGAGTTATAAAAACTAACTGCCTTTTACGAAGTATCTTGGGGCGAGTCATTCAATTTTATCAACCTGTTGACCCATTTCAAAAATGGGGCTGTGTGAGGAGGGGAGGTATGTTTAATGCATAGTTTAAATTGCATCCTGAAAAGTAGTTGTGGTTCTCACTACCCTGCTGCGCTATGCAAGGCTGGTTTAGAGACCTACAGGAGTCATGTTACCGCACACGTACCCTTTCATGCTGGTAAAATCAAGTTCAAACGGAAGAAATCAAAGGCTGGACTACTTGCACACACTACGCTTTGTAAATTGCTTTAAGGAGGGGAAATGCTGCGTTTTTTTCACTTTGATTTAGTATAACACGCCTTCCTCCCACACCACCAACTGATGAGATGAGGCCTGTGAATAATCTTTTTTTTAAAAAAAGAAACTTTCAATTTTAGAATAGCTTTAGGTTTACAGGAAAACTGTGAAGCTAGTACAGAAAGCTCGCATCTATCCCATACTATTTTCCCCTATTATTATCTAACATTAGTTCGATACATTTGTTACAATTAATCAACCAATATTGATACATTATTGTTAACTAATGCCCATACTTTATTCAGATTTCCCCAGTTTTGACCTAATGCCCTTTTTCTGTTCCAAGATCTCATCCAGGATCCCACATTAGTCATCATGTCTCCCTTGGCTCCTCTTGGCTGTGACTGTTTCTCAGACTTTTCCTTGTCTTTCATGGCCTTCAACATTTTGAGGAGCGTGGGTCAGGAGTTCTGCAGAATGCCCTTCCATTGGTGTTTATCCGATGGGGTTATAGTTTGGAGGAAGACCACAGGGGTATGGTGCCATTGTCGCCACATCATATCAAGTATATTGTATTAGTCTGCTGGGCTACCATGACAAAATACCACCGATTGGGTCACTTAAACCACAGAAATTTGTTTTCTCATAGTTGCGGAGCCAGGAAACCCCAAATCTGCAGGATTGGTTTCTTTGGAGGCTTCTTCCCTTGACTTGCAGGTGGCCGCCTTCTCATTGTGTCCTCACGTGGCCTTTTCTCTGTGCTTTGGCATCCCTGGTGTCTCTCTCTCTCCTGTGAATAATCTTGACTTGCTAACACATCTTAGAAATAGCTCCTTAGCAAGCTTTTCACCTAAAGAACAAGGACTTCGGGCCTGGGCTGGGTGGGTGGCTCAGGCATGCAATCCCAGCTCTTTGGAATGCCAAGGTGGGAGGATCACTTGAGGCCAGGAGTTCAAGACCACCCTGAGCAACATGGCAGGACCCTGACTCTACAAGATATAGAATTAGCTGGGCATGGTGCCACACACCTGTAGTCCCAGCTACTGAGGAGGCTGAGCAGGAGGATTGCTTGAGCCAGGAGTTTGAGGTTTTAAGTGAGCTGTGACAATGCCACTGCACTCCAGCCTGGACAACAGAGGGAGAACCTATCTGAAAAAACAAATTAGTTGTTAGGTCTTTAAAATTTGGAAATATAGATAGAGAAAAGGAATCTTGACATGTGGAAGGCAGCTTGTTGGAAATTAAACCTGATTAGGCCACTCATCTGTAAAGCACATGAGTTTGTTTGTACACAATCAGAAGAATAAACTGGGTGGAGGTAGAACAGGTAGCTTTTTAGCAGAACCACAGAGCTCACCAAGAGGGAGGGATATGGGTTACGTTACATCTCTCTGTAATGTAGTGAGTAGCTGGCTGAAGTGGGAATCATTTT